TCCCCTGTGAAATGGGTTACTAAATAGCTGCTCTAATACTAGAGGTGTATAGCATGACAGTAGTGATCAAAGCAGGACAAACGTAATGCCTTTCCATCGGTGGAGGTCAAAATACACTGTTAGTATTTGAGGTCTCTACATGTGCCAGAGTGTGGACATAACTGTAACGGGGGAGATTATATTACCAAACCAGTGCAAAACAAGGAATGTTTTTTTTGGAGTGGAGTGAATGGTGGGACAGGAAGATAACTTTGAGGAATGACTGCCTGCCAGCAGTTAACTTAAGATTTAGCATTTGACACAGCCCAGCTGAGAAGAAAGAACAGGAGGCAAAGGAGAAAAGCAATGAAAGACAATGAGGGGGGCAAGATTCAGTGACAAAAAAAAAAAAGCATGTACTCCCCCAATTTCCTGTTTCCACTAAAAACATGGATTGTTTCCTTCTGTCTCATACTGGTGACAGATTTTGCAAAATGTATGTGGAGAGCTGGCTGGAACATAGCTCACAGCCTGCCAAGGACCAAATGTGTAACAATTTCAAAATGACAGCAACACAGCCATTATATATTTCATGAGGAAGTCTTTTAAGTCATAGATTTCAAATCCCCTTTTAAAGCAGGGGAAGTATTTTATAGTAATTTTACATATTGAGAAACATAAACCGAGTGAGAATTTGCTTATCCAAAGAGTTGCAGGCTGTTACAGGCCAGAATTTAGAACAGAGCTCTCTTTTATGAAACACTCAATGCTTGTGATTAAACTGTCTTCAAATTAGGTTTTTCCCCCATAACATAGTCGTATAAAGTCTTTGTTTCAGTCTTCAAATTGGAAGGCAAGTAAGGTTCATCATAGGAGTGTGTCTGGTGGCCTAGTAAAATCTCCCTCTCTTCCCCATTTGTGGGGTTAGATCTGCACTGCGGTATCACTGTTTACTTACCCAGTTTGTTCCTAAGATGGCATTCACATCAGGTTATAGCAAAATATATCCTTTGAATGCAGGAGGAATTGGAGTGCGTTACTTCTACACACTCCTGCTGTTTTCATTGGGCTTGGCTACCTAATTAAAGATCAAGTCAACTTCCCAGTGTTGAGATTCAGGATGAAATCTACCACATGCAAGGATGATGAGCCTATCCAGCAAGGAAAATTAAAGATAAAAAAGTCAAAGCTGCTGAAAGAAAGGCAAGGCCACCCAGCAAAGTTTATGAAAGGCACACTTTCACTTGCTATGTGTGAGCTGCATAGTGTTAAGAACGTAATCACCAGCGTACATTTCAGACTGGGGGAACCAGTTCTCATTATGCTTTTGTCAGCTTGGAGAATGAGAAAGATGTGGTGTGAGCACTGGTCTGGATGCTGGAACTCATGAATTCCAATCCTGGTAATGACAAAAGATCACTGTGTGGGCAAGTCACTTAACCCCTCTGTGGTTCTCTTTTTTCAGAAGTGAAATGAGAATACTATTTCCCACTCAGGAATGTGGAGGAAGATTAATTAATGTTTGAAAAGCCAGTCTTGCAGTGGGAAGAGTTATATAGGAGCTAAGTGTTTATTAATGATTGCCCTTTTATAGAAACTACTTCTTAGCACAGTGATATGGTAGATTAATAAAATGTGCTCTGTCTGGAAAATAAGAGATTAGGGTGAATTCAGGAAGATTCAATCTGTTGGAGAAACCATGAAGTTCTGACTTAGCTTTTATTCTAGCAAAGTCTCACTAAAGCCAGTGGTTCTTTTGCCCGACTAATATATGATACCCTTTTTCCCCCTGCAAAAGTCTAATTTGCTTGGGGAATAGGAAATCTCTGCAGTTTCAACTCATGGCATCACTCTGGACTTTTTCCATGACAGAACATGAATTTGAAAGGTGGAAAAGTCTAGACACCAAGAAAAAAAGCTGCTGGAAGCTGCACATCTTTGGTCCTACAAAGGATCTGCTGGGACTGTGCAAACAGAACTCGTTTGCCTCAGCTCTGGTTATAAAGCCCTCCAAATTCCTTTTTAGCTAGGCATGTCTCAGCTTGCTGCCACCCTTGAAGGCCATCTGAAAGAGTTTTGGCAGTGGGAAGGGCTCAGCTGCAGAATTACTACTGCCTCAGCTTGTATCAATACTTGCTCTTTTTTTTCCTTGTGAGCTGATGCTTTTTGGCTGGAGAAGGGCAAGTCTGCAGACCCATCTGATTTCCTATGCCATCCTAAACTCCACAGCTAAAATCCCTGTAGGATCCTGTAGGCAATGGAGGCAGGGCCACAGCCTTGGGACTTCCTGCAGGGTATGCTAGTTTCCTTTTGTGCATTGAGGGAGAAAGATGCATGGGACCTATATTCAAGGACATGGTGCTTTTGTAAGGTAACAACAGTAGAGCAAGAATTGTGTGTATGTTTTCTGGTAGAGTTGAATGAAATAAAGTCTGGTACAATTTTTTGAAATATTTGGTTTGAAATTTGAAACTTCCTCAAATAGGCAAATGGGACTGGGGTTTAGAACTTACCTGATTTTGCAGCTAGGTTAGCAGTAACACAGAATCAAGCTACATAAGAGCAAGTTATAGTTGGACAATAAATATCATACAGCTGTTAAATCCAAGTGCCTCCTCCTTTGTCAGTACAGTGCTGATCAGCTGACAGTACCCTGAAAATAATTTAAGTAGACAGAAGTTTTTGAGCAGTATCAGTAATTTGTAGCAGAAGAATAATTTTTTAACTTTCATCTTCAAATGCACACAAGGGGGATAGAGTAGGATACTTAGTATGATACTTAAATGATCTGCTAGAAATGTAAATCTATCTCTCCCTTCTAAGAAATGCTATAACATTTGTGTAATTAGAGGAGGGTATCTTTCTGAAATGATTTAAACAGTGAGCATTTTGTAGCTGTCTCTGGTTTGATGATTACTTTTGTGTTACACTTTTCCCAATATTCAAAAAGTAGAGGCGTAGAGACAAAGCTGTACAGAACTGTGGATATCTTGCTGTTTGACTCTGTGTGAGCATCTGTTCCACTGCATGTCCTTTGCTCTGTAGGACCTCAGAGGAGGAGTTTCCTTCTCCAGAATGCATTAGAATACACAGCTGGCACTAGAAGAAGAGAGACCAAACTGACGTTTTGTGGAGAGCATATATCTAAGAGCAGCCTAGTTGTTCAAAATGTCTGGCAATAGAGTTAGGTTTACATAGGAAATGAGGGCAGATGCTTCAAACAATGGATGTGCATATGTATCTGGGCATTTTATTTCTCCCCAGCTTTCCCCCCTCCATCCTGCAGGAATTCTGATTTCTAAATTAAGGGCATTCAAGACTTAAAAAACCCCTGTGTCTAAGGACACGTTACATTTAGAAACAGGTTTTGTCCTGTTATGATGACTGTATGACCATCATCTTGCAGGATGGAGAAAACTGGGATAAAAGTATCTAATATTCCAGATCACTCATTTATATCATGAGGTTGTTTTACACGTTTCTAATAAGGCGACGTATTTTCCTTGAGGGATTTTGCAAATCAGCTAGAAGAGATGGAGAATGAAATATGTTATCATGCTAGGCTTCGATTTACAATTTTCTATCATCTGTTCCAGTATGGTCCATCAATTGGCTTTTTGTGAGTACTAGCAGAAAAGTATAAAAACGGAAGCTTTACTTTTACTTACATTTAAATGAATAATTGGGGTGGGTCTTTTTTTTTTTTTTTTAATGGAGCCTTATGACATTCCCAGACTGAGGTGTCTGGGGAATGGGCAGTAAGTATCTATACACATTGCAGGATACATTTTCAGTATTGGGGCTGAGTGAAGTTTTTAGGAGTGGATGGTGACTTCCTCCTTGGAGATTTTTTCAAGGGGTCTAAAAACAAGACAGAATTAGAGACTGCTGGGTTCTCTTCTCTCTTCTGGCACCACTTCCTTCGCTTTCCTAAGAAAGCTATGCAGGGCGGACTACTGGGCATAACATTTATTCCTGTGTGAAATCCTTGAGGTTAATAAAGCTAATAAAGTGACTGAAAATGTGGCTGGGAGTAAAAATTTGCAGGAAGGCCACTAAGCTTCTTTGCCTTTGTTTCCTAATCTTTTAAAATGGCAATAATTGTATTTGGTAGACGAAATAGCTGTATAAAAGAAAACGGACGTTCAGAGACTGCTTTGAAGTTGAAAAGAGATAACTTTTAGAGACAATAACATGAATTTAAAACTTTATAGAAGCTGAATTTGTATGTAATGAATCTTATGATGAAGCTTGCCTTTGTGGTGAGCTCCCTGTGAAAATGTTGACCTTTCATCACCCTGAATTGTTTGATCCTGTTCTTAATATCTGTTGTCTTATTCCTAAAATAAACAAAAGTTCAGAAAGAGGATTCTCTCTCACACATTGTATTATTTATCGGTATGCTGAATATGAAATTTACCTGGACAAACAAGTATCACTACTGAATGTTCTTCTAGCAAGAAACTGTGGATGGTTTCCATTTCCTTGTCGTGACTGGGAATCTGCGAATAAAGCTATTTATTACCCTTTTACAGAAAGCCTTTTTTTGCTTGTTTGTTTGTTTAAAAAAAGTGATACTGTTTCCTTTTCTCAAAGAGCAGTAATGAAGAAAATAATGCCCTTTCTTCTCAGTTCAGTTTCCATTGCTGTGTATTGTGCAGCACCAACATCGGAACTGGCGTTTCATTTAATTTTATGTGCAATCTTCTTAGCAATCTCAGCAGACAGGATTAGGGCTGTATGAGCTGCAGAGACTAAATGTTCAATTTGCCTAGGCCTGTAGGAAGGACTGCTGGCAGCATGGTGGGAAGAAAGCTTGTGTGGGGATGACCGGCTGCAGGGCTGCCCTTCTGTCACCTTTCACCAAGATCGGTTGGAAGAGTTTCGGGCAGGCGCATGGAGTGTGTGGTGCTGCTCTTGGGGGAGAAGGGAGTGTTATTTGAGAGGATGCTGCCATTGTTGCAGATCACATTCATTTTTCCATTCTCTCTTCCCCTCCCTCATATCTCCTTTCCTCCCAGTCTGTGGCAAGCGTTACAAGAACAGGCCTGGGCTGAGCTACCACTATGCTCACACCCACCTTGCCAGCGAAGAGGGTGATGAAGCCCGCGAGCAGGAGACCCTCTCTTCCCCTGTCCACAGAAATGAAAACCACAAACGTGAGTAGTATTTTCCCTTTGCCTTTGAGATCCTTTTCAGGGATGTTGCCTCCACCCTGTCTTTGCCTTGTAGAAGCTGGCATGATTGCCTGGCTCCGTTGTGAGTGATTGGGACTTGGATGCTTGGAGCTAATCAGCCGCAGCTCACACGGGTGCTGGCTCAGCTAGTCAGGAATTCATTTCAAACCCAGCATTATCTCTGCAGCAAGTCACTTTTCCATTACTGCTCCTGTGGGGAGGAGGTGGCAAGGAGAGGGGGGAAAAGAAGAGGTGCCCAACCCATCCATCATCAAGCAGCCTCCCAGCAGCTGTTAGCAGGGATGTCAAGGAAATACACATCCTGTCTTTGTTTTGCCTTTGAATAAGTGACATTTATCCATGTCTTAGTCTTTTAGGTATGAAATTCACAGCACCTGTCCCCCTTATCCCTGCATCTCCTCCCCAGATGACTTACCCTCAACTTTACCAAAAGCCACTTCTTAGTTACAGTTTGGAAAAATCTATGAAAAAGCATCAGTACTCATCTGAAAGGAGGAGAGCTGGAACATGGGAGGAGAGAAGAATTATGTGCCTAGATTCCCCACACTGGTACAGGGCTGAAAGAAATCTTAGTGGTCCATGTGGCCCTATTTGGCTGTCCTTCCTCTGCTTCTTAGGCACAGAACTGGGAGTCAAGGAGACTGTGTTTTATTGCTGATTTTTGCAAGTCTCTAAGCCTCTGTTTCTCAGTTTTCCAGTGTGCAATACTATGTGATGGTTGCTTTCATCTTGGGATTTGTGTAGATGCCTTTGTTCACCTTCAAAAAGTCCTTTCAGATCACCATGTGAACTGTGTCATTTTAGTTCAAAGTAATGAACAATGTGGACAAAGTAATAAAATACTTATGGGGAAAAATATCCAGGCAAACACTTTCTAATACATTAAGAAGAACTGGAAGAAATATGGAAGTAGGAAAACATTTCCTTTCTAAGCAGGATAATTGATAATTGTCCCCAGGGAAGTGTGGGAGGGGGTTTCCTTCCTCCAAAGCATCTGCTACTAGCCCCTGTCTGAGCTTGAAGGGCCGTTTAGTGTGATCCCATTTGGCAGTCCCTATGTTTCTGTCACTTTTATGCTCTACCTTTTAGTTATTCACATGTTTTGTAGGTTCACAGCAAAAGTAATTTTGACTCCTCCAGCTGTTGATAAACTTGAGCTGTCAATGCACTAAGAGCAACTGCTTGGGCAGGCTGGAGAATGTCAGTGTTCAGCCAGTAGCTTCTGTTACTTAGCATTTACATCATCTCTGTTGGTTATTTTTTTTTTTTTCCTGTGTCTGTGGTAGTCCGTAATAGTTGCATATCTAAGGGGCTTATTGCAAATCTGTATTGAATTAATATGTATAATGGCCTTGCACAAATGCCCAAACAAAGAAGGGTAGTGTCCCCTACCCTTCAGCTTATCATAGAGGCCAAGGACAGTCTCAGTCCTTCTGTTTCTGGTGCTTAGGAAATGATAGAATTTAGTAAGAAGAGGAGCTAGAAAAGCTGTAGAAAGGTTAGCAGCAGCTGGCCATGGAAAGAAAGGTGTGCTCTGCACTTTGGGAAAGGGTAGAGCGGGAGCTGCTTGGGCTTGTGTTCCCCCAGAGCTCCTGTGTGACGCGTGTGGCAGAGGGAAGCTGCTGATGCACAGATCCCCATATAGGTAGAAGTTTAGGGCCAGTGGGGTAAACCACTCTCAGACCCAGATTCCTGAGCAGAAAGAATCTGCTTAACAACCATCCAGGAGCCAGTGAGGTACAGGCAACAGCCATGTGAATGTGAAGATCACCCCTGGGGAAAGTCCCAGATGCCGGAAGGTAACTCTCCCAAATGGCTTAGCTGTCGCAGTGGCTGTTTGTTCCTTTTTGCCTGTTTATTTGTTTACAGCCTTGAGCTCAGATCTTGCATCTTTGCTCTTTCACTTGGCTATATTTAATTTATGCTGCCATTTATCTTCCATGTGAATGCTAATTGTCCACATTGCTAATGTGCAGTCATTAAATGGTCCCTTTGTACAGGGGAATGGTGGGAAGCCAGGGCATCAGATTCTTCCTCTCCCCTAAGAACTGCTAGGCATGTGTTATGAATTAGATTTGACAGGTCTGCAGTGTCGCAGGGCTTGGGCTGCAAGAATCCTCTCTGCATGGGCTTGGGGGGTAGGGGGGAGGGAGAGGGAGAGGAAAGAAGGGAGGGGATGTTAATCCAAACAACTAATCTGCAACCTACTGAATAGGAGGACCAGAGATATGGTATAGAGCAGGGTCTGGTTATTTGCTTAACAGTGTGTCAGAGACATATGAGCAGCCTGATTTAGAAAAGGCAAGGCAAATTCAAACCAGCCATTTGGAATTTGTTGTGCTGTGGGAGGTGAGCACTGGGTCAGCAAAGTTCAGGCGGGTGGCTGCAGTATGAACTTCCTTCCTTCGTACCCGCGTCTGCTCTGCAGCCTCCGCTCCTTGCAGTACCTGTGGTAACAGCAGCTGTGCTGATGCAGGAGGGAGCTTTCTGGAACAGGGCTTCTGCAGGATTCAGCTACTGATGCCCTGGCTGGTGCCAGCTCAAGTCTTTCTGCACATTCAGTCCCCTTTTATCTTTACTCTTCTCCTCATGCACGGACCAATTGGGTAGTTCAGTAAATTATCCAGGGACTGGAAAAGAGATGTAGATAGGAGGAACCTACCTGAAAATGAGAACCACTGCATAGATGTGTATCAAAGAGCAGGGACTGGCCCAAGCCTCAAGTCTTGCCTCCTCGGCACATCTCGCTGTCCTTGGCTGTTGTAGAAGGTTTGTTTATTTACATCTCTCTCCTTCTGTCCTTCTTCCTCACCTATAGATTACCCTTTGCAACATGGAAGATAGTTCAACAGTCTACTCTGGCCTTTGCCTTTCCTAAAATAACAGCCTGTACTTTGTTTGAGCTTTAGTTGCTTTGTTTGTATGTCTTATCTAGCCCTTTGACACAAATAGCCCTTCCTCAGTACCTAGCCTTGCCTCTGCCTACACACACATTTATTTTTGACCTACTCTCTGATTTTTTTTTTTTTTTTTTACCTGAGTATGGAACTGTGAAAAGGAAGTTATAGAAAAGCCTTAAGAAAGTTAACACCTCCCTTCCCCAACTCCACTGATAAAAAGAAATGATCCCACACCATTCTCAGCGTTTTTTTCTGCTGGCTTTTCCTCCACATGTTGGCACCGAGAGCGTGAGATTTGTGAGCCCAGGGTGCATCCAAGCCTGCCACAAAACACCTGCTGTTTTATTCCATCTCACTCCATGGGTACAGGCCAGCTCTGAGGACAGCTGGTGCTCACAAATTTTGAGACACTTCTGATATAGGGATTACATTAGGCTTCTATCTATTGAAATGTGTGTGTGAATGAGCGTACTAGTATAAATGCTCTTCCTTAATTCCTGGGAGAATAGGATAGTGTGTCTACACGGAGAAAACTTCCTCTCCTTTAAAGGAGAAGAGTTTTCAGTGACATTTTGCTGTGTGAAATGTTGGTTACAGGCAGCTGTGCAGTAAACAGCATCTGAACAGATCTTATGCCCACAAACATTCTGGCCAATGACAATCCTAAATAAAGCACATTGTGAGGGCTGCTGCTGGCCTAGCTGCCGTGTGCAGGTTAGTCAATCCTGCAATACATGTAGTTAATGAGAATGCAGTCCTGTGCCCTCCTGTCACTCTGCTATCTTGCGCATCTGACCTGCAAAACCACCTGTGTATGTTATTTTGTGGCATCAGCCTGTTGTGCCCAGTTCCATCGCAGATTTTATGATGTGGATAAATCTCTACTGGAGAGACCAGCCAAAGTTGTTTGTGTACTCTAAGCATAATTGGATACCCAGTCTCCAGAGATAAAAAATTAATGTGCTAACCTCAGTGTGCCTCCAAGCTGTCCTCCAGCTCCCCCACACAGTCATCTTTGAAACATTTTTATTTCCATCCAGGCAGGGGGCTGGCCATGAATAAATGACGAGAGTCAGCCCCTCAGTTGGAGACGAGCTGTTTGTTCCTCTCCACAAGCAGCATCAATTTGAAAAGCTACATCAGACCTACTTTTTCCCTGCCTCAGTGCTGATCCTTGCTGGGGCCATGATGGGAGCTGCTTCTGAATGCAAGGATGCATCAATGCCCACCTTGCGACAAGATACCCTGCAGCAGGTGCCTTTCAGTGAAAATATGTACATTACCTTGATTTGACTTCTCATTAGTTTAATCTGTTCAGGTTTTTTTCTTTTCCAGAGATTTTTTTCATAAGGAAAAAGAGTCAGAATACTAAAAGAAACAGTAGTGATTGCAGAGTCTGGAACTGCGTAACAATTTCCACTTAAACCTTGTTTGCAGCTGTAAGTTTCTCAGGCTTCTGCTCCTGTGTTTTGGGATGCTGAGGAAAAAATTAGATCAGTTGTTTAGAGTTTTGGAATAGTGGAAAGTCCCAAACTTGTCTCCTATGTACAGGGACCCATAAGGGACTTTTTGTTGTTTTGTTCGGAGTTGGGGGGGCGGCATTGGTAGTTTGGGGTTTTTTTTGATATACTGCCTGGCCAGGACCTGAAATGTTGTTATCAATGGACGATTCTCATTGAAGAGAAGCACCTAGTGCTTCTTAGTAGTTTATGGGAAAATGTTTCCAATTTGACTAATTAGTTTTTGAAAACCATATGTTGCTTCAATAACATGTCAGCTCTTGAGACAGAATGGTATCATTTATGTATTTGTAATTTTTTTTCCTTTCTTGCTATCTCCTTGCTTTCTTTCTCCTCCATGTAGAACTGGTAAAACCCAAAAGTTTTGACTGAATTTGAACTTAGGTACTCTGCCTTCTCACACTCCTCCAGTGAGTAATTTCCAGCTCCGAAGTCTACAACATATTGCAGGGACCCATTTCATGACACTGGCCATTCTTACCTGAATACTGAGGGATGCTGCTGGAGGGGGCTGTAACTCCTTGAGTTCCCTGAGCTGATG